AAGATGTAGAAAAGAAAAAAAAGGCATGAGAGAAACATTGTTTTATAAACCTCACAACTTAATAAAAAATTTGATGTTTTGTGCATGAAAGCATTGCAATGTTTACTGTTAATCTGCCAAATTTTGTTAATATTCACTTACTGATTTAAAAGTTATAGCATGAAAACTATAACAAGCACAAAATGGTTATGAGGCCGGTCCCAGGGACCGAGCTTGTAATGAAAGAGTTAATAACACTCATGTCACAAAAGCAAAACAGTTAAACATACCACCAACATTTTAATTAATCCCACTAATGCCTTCTGAGGTCCTCTACATATTTTAAGTAGAAAATGAGTGATTTTACCCATTGTATTTGATACAATATGTGGGCATTCTCTGTTAGTGAATGGTGTATAAACAAGTCAGTTATTCAGAAGTTAATTGTTTTAGCATTGTAACTGAAACTGTTACTTCAATTTTCTATAGGTCAATCATTTTAGAAAGCAAAACAAGATTTTTGTCTGGGGTGCAGACATTCCTGACCCTGTAGCATCATTTGATCAACTACATAGCAAGTATGGAGTTCATCAAGATATCTTACGGAACATCCAAAATCTTGGTTATTCTGCTCCTACCCCCATTCAGATGCAGGCTGTACCTCTGATGATGGAGGTGTTTACTTTATTATTTTGTGTTTGTTTGTTTTGTTAACTTAAAAAAAAAGACTTAACTGATAATATGTAAACACTTAATGTAACTTAGCTTGCAAAGGTCATTAAACTGCCCTAACAGTGATGGAATAGATGGATAGATATATTGTAATGTTTTAGTAATAAGTTAGTGTCATCACTTGCCTGACTACTTACCTTTTTTGAAATCTTGTAATCTATTTATTATGTTGTCATTCTTTCTAACTGTGGCTTTAATTATTGTAAAAAGTTTTTCTGAAAGACCTAATGCAAGAGTTTGATGTCCATCTACCTTAGTTCTGAACATATCCTTAATTATTTTTTCTAGCTAATGATTTGTGTATTCTTACTGCTGTATTTCTATTTGAATGCTACTGGCTTGGTTCATAATGCTAACTGTAGGAAAATTATATTCTTCAAGTGTGTAACTTGGATAACTTGTATATTTATTTATACTTTCCTTATGTAGCTCGATTACCAGAAATGAATTGTAAAAAAAAAAGAAGAAAAAGAAGATGTGAATGGTCTTATAAGTAATCACTTCTGTCTGAACCATATGTTTAAAAATGGTTGGCTTATCATAATACATGCTCTAAAAATCTTATCTGTTCGAACTAAGGTCGGAATTAAGATAAAATTATCAAATAAAATAGCATTTTGAACATGTGGCTTGATGTATTTTCTTTTGCAGAGAAGAGAAATACTAGCATGTGCACCAACAGGATCAGGGAAAACAGCAGCATTTCTTATACCCATCATTCACCACCTTAAGGTAGTATTACGTTATGGATTTTTAAAATTGTGCCTGGGAACAAATTATTTTCATGTGACCTTTCAGTGTTATCTAAGAATGAATTCATGCTAAACAGTTGATGTGTGTGTATATATATAGACGAACGGATTCTAAAGGATATCGTTTACAAAAATACTACACCAAAGAAACAGAACACAAAACTGCAACTCAACATCTACTACAAGTCTACCACAAC